TCCCGACGCCGCCGCTATGTCGAAAAAACGATATATATTTAATAATAAAAAAAATCCCTTTGAAAAATTACAGAGAAAGAAAACGGAAAGATCGCAAAAAATGTCTTTAAATGAATCTTATTCTTCATGAAAGCGAAGTCCATTTATTCAGTATAAATATATGACTTTCATCGTTATCGTCAAAGGAAAAAAAAACTATTTGAAAAAACGTGGTATTCGTCATGAAAAAAAACGTTCATTTCCTATTGAAGAAAAGCGAAATTCATTTTTAAAAATACGTTATGAAAAAAAAGATATATATGAAACTTCTCTTCAAATAACGCGAAATTCAATATGAAGAACTGGAATAAAACGAAATTTTAATTTAAAAACTTCTGACACCTGTAACTCCTACCGAATATTACCGATCATCACTAATTCTTGATAATTATGATTTTATAATTAGAAATAAATAAATAAAGATAGAAAGATAGACAGAGAAAGAAAGACAGAATGAAATAAAAACAGAAAGAAAGAAAAAGAGAGAAAGAGACAAACAGACACACAGAGACACACAGAAAAAAGAGTAGAGAGGACATTAAAAAAAAGAGCAAACGACTCCCCCGACGTCCCATACTCGAAGGCCTCTTGCATCACGCCCTCAGAACGCCGCGCCGCCCTCGCGCGCTCTCCCTCGCCCAGCCGGACACGAGGCCACAGACGGCTGCCGGTCGGGCGGGGAAGCGATGGGGCGAGGGGGTGATGGGGCGATGGGGAGTGACGGGGCGATGGAGGGGGTGATGGGACAAGGGATTGATGGAGTGATGGGACAAGGGGGTGATGGGGAGTGATGGGACGAGGGGGTGATGGGGAGTGATGGGGCGAAGGGATTGATGGGGAGTGATAGGGCGATGGAGGGGGTGATGGGGCGATGGAGGAGGTGATGGGGAATGATGGGACAAAGGATTGATGGGGCGAGGGGGTGATGGGGAGTGATGGGACAAAGGATTGATGGGGCGAGGGGGTGATGGGGAGTAATGGGGTGATGCGGAGCGATGGGGCGATGAACGGGTGGGGGGATACGCGGGGTGATGGGGCGAAAGGGGTGTGGAGAGCGATGGGGCGATGATCAGATAGGTAAAGAAGTGATGGGCAAGGAAAAGGAAGAAGGGGGGGGAGGGGCGACGGCTGATGGAGCGAGTGGGTGAAGAGAGACAGAACGGGAAGGAAGGAAGGGGAAAGGTGGCCTCCGTCGCGCCCGGAGCCGTTTCTAAAGGCTTGGAGGGATGGGACAGACAAAAAAAAATCTAAGTCGCCCCCGTCACTCAGAGGACACAGGGCCCTACTCCCTCCCTCTCCCTCCTCCCTCCCTCTACCTCCTCCCTCCTTCTACCTCTTCCCTCCCTCTCCCTACTCCCTCCCTCTCCTTCCTCCCTCCTCCATTCTTCTACCTCTTCCCTCCCTCCTCCCTCCTCCTCTCTCCCTACTCCCTCCCTCTCTTTCCTCCCTCCTCTTCCCTCCCTCTCGTTTGAACCGCCGCCGACTGAGGCTGTTTCCCTCATCCAGCGCCGGGAGATGAGGCGTTGCAGACCGGATGCTGTCAGCGAGAGGTGCTGATGCCTCGTCAGGCGTGACAAGACGATCAGTGCTGACGTCGATGGATTTAGTCAGTGGGTAGTCAGCATTGGCCAGCTCGCTCCCTTCATTGATGTATGTGTGTGTGTGTGTGTGTGTGTGTGTGTGTGTGTGTGTGTGTGTGTGTGTGTGTGTGTGTGTGTGTGTGTGTGTGTGTGTGTGTGTGTTCTTTGCACGATTTTGTATGTACATGCGTGCGTAGGTGTTCCATACATCTCTCTCTCTCTCTCTCTCTCTCTCTCTCTCTCTCTCTCTCTCTCTCTCTCTCTCTCTCTCTCTCTCTCTCTCTCTCTCTCTCTCTCTCTCCCTTTCCCTCACCCTCTCCCTCCCTCTCTCTCTCTCCTTCTCTAGCTCCCTGTATCTTATCACCTGTGCTATGCTTTTTGACTTATCCCATCCCTCTCCATCTCCCTGTGTTTCTCCGTCTCCTCCTCTTCCACATTCCGACCAAGTCCTGCTCCTCGAAAAACACTTTATTTTTCACTCTAAAGCTTCCTCTCTGACCCATTTCTCATCTCCCTTCGCTGTAACGCTTATTAATAATGATGATGATGATGATAATAATAATAATAATAATAATAAAAATAATAATAATAATAATAATAATAATGATAATGATAATAATAATGATAATGATAATAATAATAACAATAACAATAATAATAATAATGATAATAATAATAATAATGATAATGATAATAACAATAACAATAATGATAATGATAATGGTACTACTACTACTACTACTACTACTAATAATAATAATAATAATAACAATAATGATAATGACAACAACAACAATAATAGCAATGATAATAATAACAAAACAACAACAGCAACAACAACAACAACACTAATAACAGTATTAACAACAGACATAAAAAGC